CGACAGTATTTCGCGATATGACCTAGCTCTCCGCAGCGATAGCAGTCGGGCGGAGGTCGTCGTGGCTTGCCTCTAGCCTCTCGCGCCTGATTAACCTTCAAAGGCTCCCAGTCCATAACGTCCGGACTAGCTTTGTGTTAAGCGGTTGTCGTAGTAGGGCGATCTACCACCCAGGAGCTCGTTGCGCGCAGTTTAACGAGACCTACCCAGTAGAGGTTGTCGGACGTTCTTACTGCCTTATTAACTAGCTGCTCGTACGATAGATTCTCATCAATCGTAGCAAGAGCCTCCTGTAGCTTAGTGTGAAGGCCCTTTAAGAACATACTCTTCTTAGCTGCTTCGCCAAACTGCTCGCCTGACTGAATCTCAAGACGGTTAAACTCCATGTGATAGTCTCTTACTGAGAGCTTGCCTTGTTTAAGAGTTAAAAGGCGATTGAGTGCTTTGGACTTCTAGTGTGGGTCGTTAAACTGCTGGTCCATAAAGCTCCAGAGGTCTTCAATGTGGCGTTTACTCTGGTTCTGTATTGCCTAGGGTAGAAGTACATCCGCTGCCTTGCCCATACACCTACTAACCACGTACTCGATCTGAGCGAGGCTCGAAGTTCCTTTGTACTCGTGCTGGAGCTTAGCTTAAGTCTTATATTTAAACGCTACGTACTTCGTTCGATCTCCATTAAATGGTTCTAGGTGCGGGAACTTGTTCCTGCGCGCAGCTGGCTTAGCGATTGCGGCTGCTGCTAGGGGAGGCGTGAAGGCTCTATAGGACGACTCTGAACGCCCCTCAGCTTGGTCACGCTCGAGTGCCACGAGCCGTTCCGTTAGCACCTGGTTCTAGGCTGTTAACCGATTCATCAGCTCCATCATCTGGGCCATAGCATCCTGGTTGGCCTTCGGCGAGCCTCCTTGCCTTAGTGAGCCCTTTCCTCCCACGACGGCCGATCGTTTGGCGACCGCTTCAATCGTTGGCCTGATTGCTGCCTCCTTCCATCCGTCCTCTCTAAGCATTTGTGTAATTTCGCGCAGGATCTCTTCATCTGATACTCCTGCCTGGTTCTTGGCAGTAGCGTACGCCGCCAGCTCTTCCACATTCAAGTTTGGAACGTTAATCTCCATTGCCTAATTCGTTTTGGACGTCTCGTTCTTTGCCTGCTAATATGCAGGGCTTCCAGTCGCTCTTCGATCCGCTCACGCAGTCCTTAACTGCGGCCTACTCCTCGTCAGTGAGGACTAGTAGGGCTTACCTTCGGCCGTACTTCTCTTCTAGCTGGTTCTAAACAGCGTTTAGCTGCTGTCGTGTCGCGTCCCTAGGAAGACTCGCGTCTTGCCGTCTCGCTCGTGGGATCTCGTCTCCAATTGAGAGTAATCG